GAAGGCCTATGTAATTCCTGTTGAAAATGTTTACTTTGCTGGGAAGGCATTCAACACTTTAAACAAATAATACATTATTTTAACCATCACAAAGTCATATTTTATTTTTACTTCAGAGGCAGCGTGGAATCAGTCATGGTATGCAACTATAGACATGAAGAAAGAAAATGGAGAGTTTAGCTTTTCATTGTTCATTAATGAACAGATTAATGGCCCATACCTCCGTTTCCTCCCCCAGCGCCTCACTCCAGCTCCGCAGTCCCACCTCTCCCGTCGCACCACCTCGCATCCCTGTGGAAAATCCCCGGCAGCTCACTACAAGGAGCTCAGAAGGATTGCTGGCATTGATGGCCGACTGTTGGCAAACAGGGTCCTCCCCAGGCAGACTCAAAACCTTGTAAAAAGTATAAAAACATAATGCAAACGCAATAAAACTTGTATTCCTGGTAGCCCAACTCCCCAAACGTTTACGGGAAAGCTACATAGCACAAAAAGTAACACAGAAAATCTAGAAAACTTGAAAAAAAAAAACCCACAAATATTGAGCAAGAGCTGCTCAGGGCAGCTACTGCTCCACACAGAGGCGTAAACTGAAAAAGATATGTATGTTGTATGATGAGGCCGAAGGATGAGAAGGGATTCGTCAATGTACTGGCGAGGAGTGATCGTGTGCCAGCGTCTTAAGTACTGCCATTGGTGATAGGTAACCCGCCTCAGCTGTGTGGTACTTCGAAAGCCGCTGATGAGATGATGCACCTCAGCTGCGTGCACTGCTGGAGCCAAGACCTGTAACAGAGAATCAGAAGAGAAGAAAGAGAGAGAAGGGAGAGAGGCAGGTGGCGTAGAGCAAACCTGACAACCTGTACATCTGTATTCACTTCAATGCAACACTTCTGCCTTAACATTTGTGTTTATGAAACAAAATGTTTCAGTTTTGGATGAGAATCTCATAAATGTATAAATTCTATTGTATGTTCATTATTGAGGTCATAGTTAAAGGTGGTGTTGTACTGGACTACATTGTATTCAGAGGTGTCTGTATATTTTTGTCCTGCCCATTCACATACATGAGAAGGTCAGAATATTAGGATCACCTCTGAATATAATTAGGTTCAGTACAACAGCACCTTTAACATTTTGAGCTTCATAAACACAGATGTTAAGGCTGAAGTGCATACAATTGTACAGCTGTACCTAATAAAGTGGCCAGTGAGTGTACATATTCATGTTATGCAATCTTTTATATTCAGCACAGCAGGAGTACTTTTATACTTACGAAGTAAAGCACAGGGCAGGATCAACATTCTGTGTCTGATAGGAAACAATATTTAATATCTGCTGTACATGTGTAAATATGCAATGAGTTACTGCAGTTACCGTACAACTAGCAAGTATTCAAAAACAAAACAAGAAAATAAGCAAAATATATAGTTGGCAAAATTCTGCTCCCTCTCAGTACCAGATTGGCTGTAAATATTTTTTCTTGTAACTGTCAATTAGCAAGAGCTATCATAAGAACACAAGAGTAGTTATGACACTGTAAGAGTCAGACATTTGCGAGTAGCATCTGTTAATCATGGCCTGCACGCACATTACGTCATTACCTTATGCAGGAGTGTGGCTTGTGCTATAGGTAGCAGCAATGACCTTGTGGGGAAAAAGCAATAAGTTAGCTGTCTCAACTCCCATTTACCACTTATGCTGCCGTGTGAATTACTCTACTCTAAAGTCACCTTTTGTGCTGCATTATGTTTATCCATTAACATGGTACCGTTAGCTTAGCGGTTGACATTAAAGGGTTACATTTTTATTATTTGCCTTCATACTGTCATGGCATGAGTTACATATAAGCAAGAAGCCGGTTGTGTCATTTAAACCACCTAAATAGAATTTTTACTGTTAAAAAAATTAAGTGCATATTGACTGCTACTCACCCAAAAACACGGACGGGACAACTTACGTAATACGGTTCAGCTGTGTAATGGCTGCATTCAGGAACACTCGGAAATCCCACACCATGGTTGCATTCAGGGGCACTCTGAAATTCCAGCTTCCGGAGTCGCAAAAAGTTATATTCAGTGACTTTTATACCTGAAATGCATCACTTCAAACGCTCCACCTATCTATCATACTATTACTCAGTTGTGCATATTGGACCATAATGCTGCCAGGTTAAATAGAGGTATGAACAAAAATAATGCACATAATAATTGGAGGTTTTTCAGTCTGGTTTTAAATGCATAGTACAGAGTCAGCCTTATTAAAGGTTGTTAATGATATTTATTTGGCCACTGATGCAAGGGAGTATGTGATTCTTGTCCTGCTGGACTTGACTGCCGCCTTTGACATGGTGGACCATGACATCTTGATATCTCGCCTTCACGATTTAGTGGGCATTTGTGGTGCTGCCCTAGCATGGTTTCAGTCATATTTATTGGGTAGATCAGTGTCTGTCGGGCTGGCAAATGTGAAATCTGTGACAACCCCCTTGTTATCTGGGGTTCCACAGGGCTCCATTTTGGGGCCTTTGCTGTTTTCTCTGAATTTACTTCCCCTTGGCTCTATCTTTAGGAAACATGGGGTCTCTTTTCACTGTTATGCTGATGATGTCCAGATTATTATGCCACTGACTAAAAAGGACACCTACTCGATCCAACCGCTTTTAGCATGTCTTGCAGATATTAAGGCCTGGATGTCGTTAAATTGCTTGAAGCTAAATGATGCAAAAACTGAGGTTATAGTATTTGGCCAGAATACATCTGGCGACCCTCCTCCGGTAGACCTAGGCTTTTT